AGATGAGCCTCTAACATAAACCGAGACTACATAGAGAATACTGTCTGTAAATGGGAAGTTACCAACGCAACCTTATGTGACATCAGCTGTGAATGCAGCATGTAAAGCGATTATGCGACAGGGTTTGCGTTTGGCTTTATACCATTTTTAACCGGAGGATTATACATAACTGTATTTTCCGTGTAAAGGACGTGGTTTCTGGCAAAGGTAACCTCGTAGACGCAAGCGAATCTTCCTGATATATGAACAATGTTATGATGACCACACATATATGCTTTTGGAAATAAGGAAATTACTGACTTGATTTTAAACTCTTTATTTGGATTAACGATGCATAGTGTGGACCATGAACGGAGGTACCGTGATTCGTGAAGCCATTTACAACTGCTACGTTAATGTTATACGTCAGCGAAGGCGCCTCACTAATGGTATTAAAAGCTAACTGAATGTGACTTTGCTTGCTAGCTCCATTCTGAACTTTGTACGTCGGTACCTAGATCCACATAGCCCGATACAACTTTTTATAGCTTGTCTGTCTCAGCCAAGCCATCACTTGGTAGTTCCATGCTGAACTTTGTACGATGATACATATTTTCACGAAGCCTGCTGCTACCTTAGTGTACATGGTCCATTGCAACCAAGCCATCGCTTAGTAGCTCCATTCTGACCAGTGGAGGAGGTTACATTAATGCAGGAAGCCTACTGCCATTTTTAGATGGTCCATCTGCCAAGCCATCGATTGGTATGTCTAAACTGAATTTTCTACGATGGTTCCTAGTCTCTCTTAGTCTAATGCAACCATTTTGCAAATGTTCTATGGCGGTTAAGACAAGGCTTGGTAGCTCATTGCTGATCGGTGGGCCGTATTAATTTGTATCGCCTAGGCTGTTGGAATCATATTTGCAAATGGTCTATCACAGTTAAACCATGGCTGGGTTGTTCCATACTGATCTGAGAACGACGCTACCTGGAAGCACGTAGCCCGTTGCAACCAATTTTAAATGGTCTATCCCAGCCAAGCCACCGCTTTGTAGCTCTACTCAGATCTTTAGACGACGGTTCCTAAAGCGTATGCCAAAGTGAAGAGGAATGCCGAGGCATCCTTCGTTGAACCTCACGTTTGAAATGTGAGCCTTCTTACGTACTGAGAGATCTTTCTACGGAAGATCGTATTAACAGGAAAACAACCGTTGATTAGCTCCGGTCCCGCCAAGCGAGTGGTGAGACAGACCTCCACACCGTGGATTTTCGCGTAATCCGGAGAACCCCGAGAACCCGTTGGAGGACAACACGCCTTAACCCAGGGCAGTAGAGCATGGGAACGCACTGCCTGTAATTTTTGCCGACGTACGCATTCTGAGAAATAAAGTTGCTGAGGTACAGATGCTTGCGTTAGATATTCGCCCCGACTAGATGGTCTTTACCGCAACTTGGCTATTTGGGGACATGATAGATTCAGAGGTTTCTATCCTCGGATGCAGTTTCTGTCGAGCCGACCGCCTTGGAGGTAGGCCCGGTGGCGGCGCCATCCTTTACTGGAATGCCGAACTCAAGGCCCAATTCGTGGCAGCTACTAGTGCCGACGCTAGTGATTTTAATGCACTTTGGTGCCGTATTCATGATGGATGCAGATCCTTCACTATTGGTTTTGTCTACAGGGCGCCATCGAAATCCGGAGTTCAACTGCTCGATTCGATCAGGAAACACGGCGCGAAAAAAAACAATCTTATCGTGAGGAATTTTAATGCCCCTAATATTGATTGGGACATACTACTTTTTGGTCGTCCACCTGCTTCCTTTGCTGCTACCTTACTTGAGACTGTTATCGAATGTAATTTGTTTCAGCACGTCAACATGCCAACTCGCATTGTTGCCGACCAAACGTCAAACACTCTGGACCTTGTGCTCACCCTAGCTCAGTCAGATGTCACGAATCTAACCGTTCTCCAGTCCATCGTCAGATGTGGCCATTGGGTCGTTTCATTCCAATGGACACGTCGCCTTGTGATCCATAGCCGAGGCAGTTGTCGCCGGAACAAATGACATGCAGATCCACTCCGTCTGAGAACAGTCGCAAACGCTATCAAATTCCACTTCGTGATGCGTGGAACCTTGTGCTCCCCAAAATGACGTCCCTAATTGAGCCGGTCGTTTCTTTCTCCTGTCGAAAGTCCTTCAAGAGGGGTCTACTTTGGATTGACAGTGAATTGAAACCTTTGATGAACAGAAGACGCAAGTTGTGGGACCGTTTCAGGCAATCTCAATCAGAGTCCGTTTACTCTTCCTACATGACTATCAGGAATGGTTGTGTCACGTTGAAGTGACGGAAGCATCATCAATATGAACGACCCTTAGCAGTACACTCCAGAACGACACCCAAAAGGCTTTTCTCTTATCTGAAAAGAAGTACCAGGGTTGGTAATGGCATCCCTACCTTGTGTTCCTTGGAATAGCGAAAGTTAGTTTACGAAGACGCTGATAAAGCCAGTCTTTTGGCCCAACAGTATGCCACTCTCTTCGCGAAAAAGCTCCCGCCTGAGACGACACTGTGCCCAGTTTTCCTTTCCTGTTGGAGCAAGTAGTCATTTATCTCAGTTCGGTGGTTAAACTTCTCCTTGATTTAAATTTTTCATTCTTTACCCGGCCCGGATCATTTGCACCCCTGTTCCTTAGGATTGTGGCGCAGTACTTGGCCTCATCTATCTGTCAGATTTTCCGTCCTTCATTTGAAGCTGAGCGGCTCAGGTCGGCTTGGAAAGTGGGCATTGTCAAACCCATATACAAAGGAGGAAACAGGCAAGATCCAGTCAGCTATCGTCCAATCTTCTTAGCATCTATATAGTGTAAGTTATGAAGCGGAGCTTGAAGCAGGCTCTTCATCTATACCTCGAGCAACTAAATCTCTTCTCATGTGCACAGCATGGTTCTTGAAGGGCACGTTCATGTACCTCGAACTTACTAGTTGCTAAGGAAAAATGGGCTGTCACTAGATTCCGGTAAACGTTGTGTTTGTTGATTACAATAAAGCTTTCGGCAGCGTCCTGCCCGAACTACTTTTGCTTAAACTCCGAGGAATCGGTATCGCCGGGAATCTTCTCTCCTGGATCACTGATTTCCTTCACAACCGCACGATGCAGGTGCGAGAAAACGAAACATTTTCCGCCCCAGTTCTCATGACTAGTGAAGTCCCTCAGGCTTCTGTCCTCGGCCCGTTGCTTTTCAACGTCTTCATCAATGACTTACCGTCCACACTCAAGCGGATGGCCTAATCTACGCCGACGACCTAGAGCTGTAGATGGAGGTATCCAGCATGGAAGATGCTGACAAGTTACTATCGACATTCGACCTGCGCCATGATTGGGCAATTAAGTGGCAGTTGCTAATGAATCGCGAGAAAGATTGGGATCTTCCACTTGCTGCGTCTGACCGATTTGGAATCAACCGTAGTGGTGGTTCATTGCTTAGAAACGCCACTCAAGAGAGGAGTTAGGGTGATATTTTTGCCTTACCTCAACTCTAATGAAGATACCAAGGAAACGGTCGCTGCGGTCTACAGGATGTCCAACTCTATACGTAGAGTGTTCCCTCGAGGACCACGGGGCTCTTGCGACTCCTGTTTACTTCACAGGTACGCCCGCTTCTCGTATACGGGCTATCTGCCCCTACCTTCTTACGAAGTTCGAATGGGGTATGATTGCGAACGTTCAACGGCGTGGATCCAAATCTGTTCCTGAGCAGCGGGAACTGTCCTATTATCTCCGACTCAAACAACTGAACCTCTTTTCCTTGGATTGCCGTCGCCATTGCAGAGACTTGGTCTACAACCGACGTATTCTTAGAGAGTCCGGGAGGGAATTACAGGAATTCTTTCATTTTAACACACAGAGTTCAACAAGAGGCCGCAGATTGAAACTGTTCAAACCGAGGAGTCGTTGAGTGCGATCCAGCCTGGCTTTATCTACTCGCGTTGTGAAGAACTGGAACTGCCTTCCAGAGCCATCGTCGATGCCGAGACCGATGAAGGTTTCAAGAATTTATTGGATTCTCATTTTGGGTTACGGGGATCCAGCTGTTTCCAATGCAGCCTCAGTGGTTCTTGTGGGGCCTTGTTCCGCTATGACCCAGGCTATCTCCGTAAGGATCAGGAACTGACGGAGCAGAAGTAGGAACGTCCTTCTCTCTATCATCCAATGATCCAACGATCCAATGATGCAGCTATTATGTAAATGGTCTACCTCAGCGAAGCAATCGCTGTTCAGCTTTATTCTGAACTTTGGACGATGGTTCCATGATTTTCCCACATGAAAATCATGGCAATACATCATTATGACCCGTTAACTTATATGAACCATCGACAAAGCGACACGTGACATGAGCGGCACGATTGCAGTCTCTGCAACTAAATGGGCAGGATAAGTAAACTCACTTACCGGCGTTTACCACGTTTCCAGTGGGAATGAGTACGTACGTACTTCACGTACAAATATGTCATCCATTTGGGTAGCACAATCCCACGGTTTCGGCGACATGCACCGGCGGGTCAGAATTGCACACGAAAATGACGTGCAGGATCGTCGTTGAAATGCCGAGAAGTCTTCCCTGAGAGCTGCAGCTGTTCCATCTTGCATGTTCATTAGTTGATTGAAGACTGATCATCGTCCACCACACGCTGTGCTGCTGAATTTGAGCTATTGCCACCGTAATCCCCGTCCAAATCCATCACAGCACACCCCCTGACGAACGTGCAACACGTGGTGTCCGTAGCGCTGACAAGTAAAGTGGAGCACCATAGCGCGCTACCTTATATAGGAATAGACAAATACGTCCATTAAAACAAACACATAAAATTTTCTAGTTACCCATCTTTTGGAACATTTCTATCGGTTGCCAAACTCGCTGATTATAATTGTAACACTCACCTTGCCATTTTCTCATTAAGTTGTCTGCCACAGCAGGTAGAAGAATTGTCCACTACCGAATTTTTCAATCCTTGCTGCCACCCCCTAACTTAGACATGAAATTCACCTGACCTCGACCTTGATACTGGTATTACGGCTACAATCGATGATATTGCGTCTTCCATTGTCGCGGCTCTTTTTTTCCCTGCCTTGTTTTGCAACCTTGCGGTTCAGGCCGCAGTATTTTAATGCTAGTGGTTATTCAGTTCGACGCTTATCCTCAAAAGAGACATACCGAAATAGGTATACTCACCACAGGAATGCTTTTCCTGGTAAACCGAACTATGCGTACGGTGTTTACGTGACCATCTTACTTTGCTTATTGCTATTTTACAGTCTTGGCGGGTAATTGACTTTTATACTTTCATTAATTTAGTGGACGTTATCTTGATACTCTGGAAGCGCGGTGGATCGAAAAGGGAAGGAAGAAGCGCAAAGTAATGCCTCATATATCTCACTTATTGTGCGTTCAAGGCTATCCAGGATGTCAAATGTGAAACAGTGTTTGAGCAGGTTCAGGATAAACGCGTATTAGCTGAAGATAATACTGCTCCACTTAAGAAGAGTCATTTGGGATTCAGGGCGCGAAAGGTACGTTTATACTCCCTCGGTGCACGCTTTATCTTGTACTTCCTAAAATTAGTGCAGACTTAATATTTTTGCAGCTTCGTTGTGTGCTTCAGTATTTACTCGCATTCCCGCTTATTTTCATTCGCTCCACGCGAAATGGTTACTGCGTGCCCAGCAGCACCTATCTGGAGGCGGATTCGCTTCGATGTCACTATTTTGCAAGTACTAAGTGCTTTCACGCCATTGCCCACTGATCTACAACAGCTTATTTCTGTTCAGTTAAACAAGTGATCCGGGCATTGATGTGCACTGGTTGCCACCCCCAGAGTTATCACAATAGCAGTAAATGACAGACTAGAAAAGCTAAGTAGAAAAGAAAATACAGTTAAAATGCGAGTAAAGCTTTTCCGTTTGGAATGTTGATAGCCAGGTGCATTGAACCGAAGGTAGGATCGTTGCTGATTGCACGAATTTATGATATCGACTGGTGTCTCAAAGCACCTATGTGGATTATCCGAGGTCTCCATCCACGAGGACAACCGCCAGTGTGCAGGTCTTTTAATCATTTTCTTCCTACCTTTTCTGCTCCGAAATCTATCAGTCGCCTTGGATTTGACTACATAGGTTCAACTTCAAGTGCGTCTGGAACAATAGGATTATCCCGTGAGTGTTCCTTCTTCAGAGGTCATTGAACCAGGAGTTGGCAGAATGAAATACAGACGGACCTAAAACAAGGGCCGCATCACACCCTGTCCGACTAATTAGTGCCCACATAACCTGCCCTAGAAGTCCCTGTTGGGCCGGTTACGTGAGGTAAGAAAGGGCATAAGTAAACCCAGAAGGCAAGCAGCAAAAGTAGCGAGTGCTAAGCAAGTAGAATACTAAGCTATTTGAGTCATTAAAAAAGAGCGGAAAACTGAAGATGCGTCAGTTAGAAAAAACGGTTTGGTCTTGCCACCCAAATGCATCGAGCTGGCGCGCAAAACCCTTAACATTAGGTTCCCTACGCACATGATCTGGAAGCGAATTCCAGCGATCTATGACTCGGCGCGACAGGCGAGTTTCCGTCCTAATCCTATCAGACCGTGGCTTATGCAGTTTCAGTGGGTAACCGGGGAAATTAGGTCTTAGCGGAACTAACTAGCCCTGACAAGCCCGGGCCGATCTCACCCGTCAAAATACGATAAGTTAGAATCAGATCCCCTCTTATCCTTCGGTGCAGCATGGAATACATCCCCAAACTAAGCAAGCGTCGGCCGGTGGCCGAGTGGTCTGCACGTTTGCTTTGCAACCATAAAGTCACTGGTTCGAATCCGCGTAGGGGTGGGCGTCCTCGCGGTGTACTCAGCCCGCGCGCGACTGGTGGTGGTCGCGCGGTAGCGAAGCGCCGTTACGGCGTACAGCTGACACATTACATTACTTATTAAACTAAGCAAGCGTTCAGGATACCATTGTCCCCGCAGACCCTGCGCTAACCGAGTGCCCACTCGTAACACCCTCTCCAAGTCCATTTTGTCTCGGATAAGACATTGTGGACAAGTCTGGATACAATATTCCAGATGGGGTCTGACGAATGCCGAGAATAACTTCACAAACAAATTGGCCGTTAAGACTCCGAATGAATGGCGGATAAACCACATCATACGGAACCCCGACAAGCAGCCTTCTTCCAATTGTCACCAGAATGAACTGCCGATGAGTGTACGACCTCTAAATCAACCTGCTGAGTGATAACAGGGATTTCATCGCCGCCGACAACATATCGGGTGAGAGGAATAACCGCTCCGATTCGGAGAACAGAGCAATTAGCCCTATTTATGGGCATCACCCATAAGGTAGACTATTCCCAGAGGCGCGCTGAATTGCCTCAGGACCCCCGGGATATCCGCAATATTCCAGAGCTTAAGGTCGTCAGCAAGCATTAGTGATGACACTCTTAGCTCCCCCGACAAGTCATTTACATAGATCGCCAACAACAATGGCCCCAATACCGAGCCCGGCGGGACGCCACTAAAGACAGCTTGTCTGAGCGCAAGGCTTCGCCCTACCCGTACGCAGTTCCCTCCCCTTCTGGAAAGCAGACACCCATATAAGGGCGCGACCAGATATCCCGTAAGAACTCAACTTTAATGAGCCTAAAATGAGGAACAGTGTCAGAAGCTTTCGAAAAGTCCACAGATAGCACGTCTACAACGTAACCACTGTCTACCGCTTCGATCCAGCTTTCACGAGCTACAAGTAGATTGGTCTGACCCGAAAATCCCTTGCCGAATCCATGTTGCGCAACACAGGTTAAATATATTCAGATGGTTCTCCACTGAATCCCTTATCAGCTTTTCAAACAACTTGACTACTATGCTTCTCAAACTGACAGGCCGGTAGTTCACAGGCAGATCGCTGTTACCGCCCTTACACATCAGACAGATGATTGCCTCTTTCCATTCCCAAGGTTAGACGCAGCTGTTAAGTGATATTGAACACACGCATGTGAGAGGACCACTAAGCTCAGCGGTCAATTCATGCAACATCTTCAAATGAATTGAACCAGGACCGGAAGCTTTAGTGGGATTAATGCCTTGCAATAGTTAGAAGACTTGAGTCTCCGTTATGTCAAACTCAGCTAAGCAAGAATCCTCTGTAACTCTTGAAACCAAATCAACCTGTCGTAAAGATATCTCCCGAGCAAAGACCCCAGTACACTGATCACTAAGTATACAAGTCTTGTCATAGTCAGTTTGCACACGTGTCCCGTCTGCTCGCAATAACGCTGGTATAAACAGTTTTGACCCTCTGCGTCTTTTAACGTAAGCAAAATACTTCTTGGGGTTAGCTACGGCCGAGTCCGATAAACCTTGTTCGTATTGGAGACGAACAGTCCTGAGATGTTGCTTACATTTATTTCTGCTCTTCCGATAACTGTCGTAGGTACTGGCTGATGGAGCTGCTTGGTAGGTTCGCCAGCATCTAGACCGTTTCTTGAGTAGGTACTTGCCTCCATAGAGGCTGTGCCCGTAACCCTCTTTTCCTCATGAGTGGAATATAGGGAGTGGAAACCTCCGTAAGGTATTCCTTAAATTTATCCCAGGCTAACTAGACAGAGTCGGCCATCCAGATCTCACAGTTCAGAACCGAAGCCTTAGTTCGCATTGCACTAAAGTCAGCCCGCCAAATATTCGGAAGTAATTCAACGGCGATCTGTTGGTGCCTTAAAAGAGCACACCGAAAGGATATGCATGCGTGATCGCTGGACCCTAGAGGTGCACCGTACGAAACGTCAGTCACGAAGTCGAGGGACTTAGCGAAAACCAGATCTAAAGTAGATGGTATTTGGTTGTCCATATACCTAGTGGAGAAATTAACGAACTGGCACTTGGAGAGTCAGTTCGAGAAAGTCTGCACCGAATGCTCCTGACGAAGAATTGCAAGAAAGATCGGCCCAACAGACTTCCGGGAGGTTGAAATCCCTAGAACTAAATACTTATGCGCAGTGTGCGAAATAGTCAATTATCCCCTTGGAAGAACTTCCAGGACTCCTGTATATCACTACAACTGTAAACTGGGTAGAGGAAGTGCACATAACAGCCGATAGGGCTTCAACAGTCTGATCCGACGACTGGAATGTGCAGGTCCTCAACACATCTAATTTACAGCTCACATAAAGTACAACGCCTCCGCCTTGACGACCAACGGAGCGATCAGTTCTAAGCAGTGCGTAGCCAGGTAAACATACCTCACCGTCCGTGATATCCGGAGACAACCACGTTTCAGTGAAAGCAAGTATGTCGGGACGAGATTTGTCTACAAGTAGACCCAACTCGTGCACCTTGTTCCTTAGGCTACGCACGTTGCTAAGTACTACCTCAAGGAAGTCGGCACGACCATCCCTGGGTCGTGCGCCATCAGGATGGGTTCTGATAGGGCGGAAAATAACTTCCGGCTGACCACCTGAAAACCCACCAGACGGAGGCCTTGCTCACCAGCCGCCCGTCTAGTTTGAGGTCTTTGATAGCCTCTAACTTCAATCTATCTGCCAGTGGAAGGTCTGGCTGAACGCTGACACCACTACCCTTAAGTTTGAATGCAAACCGCAGTAATGATTTGCGTTCCTCCGGGGTAGAAAGGACCACGCGAAGTAGTCGGGGTCGCGGATTTGCCGTACCGATAGGGACGTTCCCCAATCTGGTCAGCTTTCTGACAGTGACACCAGGGAAGCCAGGTGGAAGCAGCTTGGTGACGCACAGTTTGAGCCACTTGATGTCATCCAAAATGCGTTCCCTTGGGAGAGCAGCCGCAGATTCAGTAACGTTACGGAATATAACGCTACTATCCGTGAAAGAGTCGCCACGACGGGGAGTGTTTACCCCACGTGCCTTGGATTCGACACTTACACCAGCTGTTTTCACCACTGGCGGTGGGACTGTCCCTGTCTCCGCAAACGACGTCGAAGCAACGGTAGCGTAGGTTTTCCGCTCTATTGCCGGCGTCTTACTATTTCCTGGGTCTTCAAGCCCTTCCGAAGTTTTACGGGCAGATCTAGTCCGCTTCTTCTTTTGGCTCACGGGAGCAGGGGCTGTTGACCTTGTGTCGCATTGAGCAGTTACCAACAAGTCGTCAGAACGGGCTGGTTCAGTGGCAGCCGAGACGGTCAGCATCTTCGGAATGTTCTCCTGTGCACAACCGTCAGATGACTTTACGACTGACGAAGACTGCATCTTTCTCGATGCCGTGGCAACTAATTCTCTGGGTTTAGCAGAGGGCTTGTGGTATTTCCGCACCCTATTTTTCTTCACTCTGACAGGCTCATGAGGAGAGTCGGCAATGCTACCTGGAGTGTGCGGTAGGATGCGCGACTCCTTGACCGAGTGACAGACCCCAGCGGATGGATCGTTAGCAATGTTGCAGTCTACTGAAATATTAAAAGATTTCAAAATCAAATCCATCCTGGCATTGAACGAGGCAATATAGGCGAGCTCGGCTATTGCCTTCACAAAACCTACCAACCTTTACACCAGCGCTGAAAG